ACATGAAACTTGAAATCACAGTTTCCGTTTATTTAATAATATTTTTATTTATTTTGTGCCTTTTATGTTGAACCCTAATGCATTTGAAAAATCAGTATAGAATTACATTGCAGATGGGGAGAAGAGCCCAATTGGCCATGGAATTTGATAGATTCCCAGCCAACTGCTGCAGTACATCAGAATCCCAACTACCCTCTTGTGGAAGGGGAAAAAAATATGTCTAAAAGCAAATTTACCATTTAAAAAATTCGAAATTCTTCTATGCATATATTTAAAGCTATCACTTCATTTTCTGTGCCAATGAAGGGGCGGCCAAAAAAAAACGTAAGTACTTTCTTCATCGCTGTGTAGCCATTCATGCCCCTCTTTCTCTGGCGAATTCTCTAAGAGCTTCTTCATGAGCAGCAGATGGACTGCTGGTCCATCTCCTGGCCCATCTCCTGGCCCACCCAGTGCAGGTGCTGATGACCAGGAGCAGAGGAAGGGTGGGCTCACGGCTGTCTGGAGGCAGGTTTCCAAAGTTAGGAAGGCTTCCTGATGAGTAAGAAAATCAGATAGGAGATCGATGACTTTCCACTTTTATATTTGGCAGTTTACAATTCTAGACTTTTCCTACTATGGCAATCTTTTTTAATTCTTTGGAGGTAACACAATATTTTGGAGTCTTAAGAATTTGATTTTATAACAATAAGAAATAAAAGTTAGGGATCTTTCCTGTAGTATATAGTTTTACTATTTTAAGGAGATCTCTGAATTTTACAAGAGAACCAACATTCCTTAGTGGCAAAACTTTGAAAGTTGATTTGGGAGGCTTTTTGCTGTAGGACCTCAAAAAAAAAAAAAAAAGATAATAATTCTAGCTTAAATGTTTTTTAATTTTTTAACTTCCATCAGGTTGATACATAAGCTATATTTTATAAAGAGTAAATCATCCTTTAGTATGCTGCATATAAAGATCAGAGTTGTTGCACTTTCTCGGTAATAATAAATGCCCTACAATTGGCTCGCCAGGAAGCATTTTGTTTTCCCCTAACAAGAGTACTTTGGGGCGGGGGTGGGGGGTGATTAAAATCTATATAGGTACCTCAAGAAAAAGAACCTGCATATGCTGCATTTTATTTCTTTAGCTTTTACATGTAGCATTTTGTCTTGCTTTGGTTATTTTGTTTAGATAAGTGCTTTTTGGACCCCAATAGACTGTTGAAAGAAAATTCAAAGTTTCTCTTGTCGAGGTATAGTATATCCCTTTTTAACGTACTGCAATGTCTGATTCAGAGGTTGCCCTGCATTAGAGTACCGTACCCAGACACTCCTGAGGAAAGGGTGCGACGTTCATGGCAGACAGCAATGTGGCGGATCCTTTCTGTTCATGCTGCTCTCGATTCCCTTCTCCATGTCATCAGAGGCTGGAGACCTTATTTCTAAGCTCAAAGTTGAAAACCATGGCATTTTAGTTTTTCAACACAGACCTCACAGAGTCGCCATTGGGTAAGTGCATGACCCTACAGTGCTGCTGGTGGCAGCAGCCGGTCGGCCTGGCCTCTGAGGAGCCAGCCTGCGCCTTTCTTCATTCCCCTGCACTCACCCCAGGCTGAACTGGTGGGGGTGGTCTGGATGGACAAGACAAACTGGTGAAGAAAGCTAAATGCTGAGACACTGAGCACCTGTTGTGTTTAAGCTTAGCTGGGTCCTTTCAAGTTTGTTTTTACAGCTTACTAGGTTAAGTAGTTTGCACTATTTTTGCAATAAATTCATGGAAAACCTAACAGTTACTTGTTTTGTTTCTTACTGTGTGTATATAAACTAATATTAAAAGTTTGGCATAGTGTTTTTTCACCTCCTTACATAACCCCTAACATGCACAGAATGCTGTAAATCTGATAAAATATGATGTGAATGATATTTTATAAAGTTATTTTGTATGGTGTCGATTTTGTTTTTGCCTCATAGTATGTCAGCAAAAATTAAATAAAATTCCTCGTATTTACAGCTGCCTCTTCCAACAATCTCCAATTACTCACGAAGTCTGTCTTTGGGTGCTGCCATGCGCACAGGTGCTGAATCTGATTTCCAAGGTCGAAGCAGGCCTTGAGGGAGGAAGTCCAGAGCCCTCTTACACAGCTTGTGGGGGCTCTTCCTTAAAAAATGGACTTAACAGAGCCAAGCATTACCTGAGGACCTGAGTCTAGGGACGAGCGGGACAGGACTGAGGGTGAACGCAGCATGCAGGAGACCTATGTGGTCCCACACCAGCAGCCAGGGAGGAAGGACAAAGTGAAGGGGCCCAAACTGTCCTTGTTTCTTACTGGTAAGTCCCTTTACCCCTCACCCTGGCTGTTCACACACCTCCGTGCTGCTCTGAAATTCCTGGTGGTCTCATTCTGGGCTGTTTCTGACTTCTTCTATCTATACTGAAGAATAGGTGGTGCTAGGAAAGGAAAAGAGGATTGGATTAAGAAAGCCAACAGCTGGAAATCCCTAGGATATATGCTTTGCTAAAGCAGGCCACTGGGTTTGTGGGTTTTTTTTTTTGTTGTTTGTTTTTTTTTAGTTGTGGGTAGACTTTATTTTAGACCATTTTTTATTTATTTTTATGTCGTGCTGAGGATCAAATCCAGGGCTTTACACGTACCAGACAAGTGCTCCACCTCTGAGCCCAGGCCCCAGCCCACAGGCCATCCATGTCTTGTCATTTAAGTTACCATAATCCATTATTGAATTAATTATTACTTTTGACATTCTGGTCTCCTTTTTCTTTTCTATTTATTTATTTTTTTTAACAAAGTCAAGATGTAGAGATTTCTTAACGTATCTAGAACCCTATACTACTACTACTTAAATGTAAAAAAACTACATCTGGGCATGGTGGTATACACCTGTAACCCCAGCAACTTGGGAGATTGTGGCAGGAGGATCACAAGTTCAAGTCTAGCATGGACAACTTAGTCAGATCCTGTCTCAAAATGGCCTGGCGGCATAGCCCAGTAGTAGAACACCCCTTGGTTCAATCCCAGTACCACCCAAAAGAAGAAAGCCACAAAATACCTTTGTGCCCACCAGCCCTGGAACATCATGTTAGTCAAAATCCAAAGAATACTCAAACTGATAAGAGATCTATGTGGCCCCGACCTGCACAGGCAGCTGAACTTGAGATCGCTTGAGTGAGTTTGCAGGGACACCAAATAAAACAAACACAAATTACCTTTACACAAGCTTCAGGACAGCTTCTCTACTCTCGTCCTCAAGCTCCCCAAAAGGGAGAGCAAGAGAAACAGGCTGGCGAGAGTGAGCACGTTTGGAAGTGGGCTTTTATTGGGGGGACTCTTTATTATTTAGAAAGTTCTATCCAAAAAAGGTCAGAAGGGGCAGGGTTACAAGGGACAGGTGGGTAAAAATCTCAAAGTGACACACCTGAAGACCCGTCTTACTGAGCTGTAAGAAATGTAGTGATTGGTCAGAGCCTTCTGCTTCAGGACTGGAAGGTGTGGGGCATTCAGGGCTGCGCCCCACAATCTATAATATACTTACTATGGCCTGACCTATTAAAATCTCTTGTTCACTGTCATTTATTGAATGGCTAGAGGCAGTCACTATCTGATTGGAGTGACCTAAATGTAAAAGCAGCGCATGATGGTTAATGTTAAATGAATTAGGAAAAGATTCCAAAGAACTCCTTGCATGTGGACAGGACATTTTTGCTCTATTTGGATAAGTAGCCTGTATCAGCAGGAAATGAAAGTCAATGGAGAAAAGTTCTACAACAGAGTGAGATCAGTCTCATGGGCCTTGAATGTTAAACTGAGAACCTTCCCCATTGTGGAAACGCTACTTCTTAAGCTGCATGGTTCAACGAAAAATCTAGTCTGGGATTTCAATTCCATTTCCACTAATGACAAAAAAGGTGTTAATCTTCATGAAATTACTTTGATAGGAGGAAGGAGGCTGTAGAGATGAGGAGGAAACCTTTTATATAGTATGTAAAGTAATTATTTACTTTTTGGTACCGGGGAATGAATCCAGGGGTGCTTAACCACTGAGCCACATCTCCTGCCTGTTTTTGTGTTTCATTTAGACACAAGGTCTCACTGAGTTACTGAGGGCCTCGCTAAGTTGCTGAGGCTGGCTTTGAACTCAGAATCCTCCTGCCTCAGCTTCTGGAGCTATGGAGATTACAGGCATGTGCCACCACACCCAGCCTACATTTTTAACTGGTTAAAGAAAATCCAAATATTTCATGACGTGAAAATTTACAGAAAATTCATATTTCAGGGTCCAGAAATAGTCATTATTTTCCATTTAACATATTATCTATGGCTGCTTTCCTACTAAAATAACAGAGCTGAGCAGTGGCTACAGAGATTATATAGACCAGAAAGCTTAAAATATTTGTATTCGGCCCTTTCCAGAAAGTTTTCAACTGGGAACAGCTCAGAGGCTGCAAGGGTAAAGTGGTGGATTGACCAGGAGGGCAATGTCCAGAGGGTGACAGAAGTGTTGTGTCCTAACTCTGATGGTTACTCGACAGAAGTGGATTTCTAAATACTTAAAACATGAGTAGCTGGGTGTGGTGGCACATGCCTGTAATCCCAGTGGCTCAGGAGGCTGAGGTAGAAGGATTGCAAGTTCAAAGCCTGCCTCAACAACTAGGTGCAGAGCAACTCAGTGAGCCCTGTCTCTAAATAAAATATAAAAACAGGGCTGGGGATGTGGCTCAGCAGTTGACTGCCCTTGGTACCAAAAAAAGGGCGGGGTGGGGGGGGGCACAGAAATGTCAGTTGTTGCCAGAGGGTAGAGGGTAGGGGATAGACCAACTATAGGCAGCACAGGGTAAGCCTTTGGGTGATGGAACTATCCTGTGTATTGACTGGCTACAAATCTGCATTTGTGGCTGGTACAGTGGTAGATGCCCACAGTTCCAGCTGCTAGTTCAAGGCCAGCCTGGCCAACATGAGACCCTGTCTTAAATAAAATCCCCCAAACCATACATTTGTCAAAATTCATACACTTGAAACCAAAAAGGGCGATTTTACTGGATGTAGGTTATAAGGACAGTATACCAAGGCAGAGGCAGTATTTCTGCATTTCATTTGATAATCTGGGAGTTTACCTTTGGGAATAAAAGTGGGTTTTTGTTTTTTGGTTCTGGGAATCAATCCCACTGCTGAGCCACAGCCCCACAAAGAAATGCTTGCTTTTAAATTTTACAAAACTTTCAGGTAGTAAGCAAAGGATTAGAACAAATGAGTCCTAAAACTAGTTCCACAAAGCACATTACTGTAAAAATATGTACAGACCTTAATAGAAAAGAAAAAGTATATTTCTTTACAATAAAAAAATAAAATTTGAACACATAGTCAAATTTTATAAAAATACATAACTGAAAGGAAGCATATGACTATAAACTACATATTTAGCTGAAACTAAATCCAGTTCTTATAAGAATTTCAGAATATAAATCATAAATCCACAGCTAATCCAGAAGCTTGTCAGAATCTGTCTGCAAGTTCAAAGGAAAGGACAGTGGTTTCAGCTGCAGGGTGGCCTGTCAGACCACAGTTGCACTATTTTCCCTTCAGCTCTTCATGGTGTAGATGCAGGAGATGATCAGTTTTAGTCATGAAGGAATATGCTGTACTGGAAATTTCTGGAAAGGGAAACCAAAGCCACATGGTGATTTGATTGCTTCAGAGCAAGAGGGTCACCAAGGAGGGTCCTGGCCAGGTGATTTCTAGAAGCCTTCTTCCTTGGTCTAGGACTCCGCTTCATCATCGTCACTTCCTTCATCGTCCTCATCCTCCTCCTTCTTCTCTTTAAGCATTTTCAGGTACTTACTAGCTAAAATCTTCTTTGGTAATATATCTTAAAAACATAAAGCTGACATCAGCAACTGGTTATGATAAACTATGAATAGTACAAACTGAAATCAAAGAAACTGGTTCCTATTTCGACCTCTGGAACAGTTTCCAAAACAAGATGAAATAAATCATCAGGGAAACTAGCAATGCTACCGACCTGCTCCCACTCCACCAGCAGCAAACCATGCTGTTTTTCTTTTTTCTTTTGGTAGGGGGGAGCAGTAACTGGGGATTGGATCAGGACGCTCAACCCCTGAGCCACATCCCCAACCCTATTTTGTATACTTAGAGACAGGGTCTCACTTAGTTCCTTAATGCCTGGCTTTTGCTGAGAGGCTGGCTTTGAACTCAAGATCCTACTGTCTCAGCCTCTGGAGGCTCTGGAATTACAGGTGTGTGCCACCGTGCCCAGGTAAACCATGCTGTTTCTATGTGCTGGTTTTGTGAGCAACCCTGCCCAACCTACCTGAGATGGGCAAGGCTAGACCAAGGGCAGACTCGAGCTTTTTTTTAGCTAGGGCCTCTTCCATAGAAGCAAGCATTAGTTTCTGTTTTTGAGTTTCCTTTCAGTGGCAGGGGTTGAGGGTCCACCCAGCAAACCATCTTCCCCATTTATTGACTTCATTACTGTTCTAGGTGGACAAACAAATTTCGCAACAAACATGTGTAGTCTTTAGGGGGCTGGGGTTGTGGCTCAGTGGCAGAATGCTTGCCTCACACATGTGAGGCACTGGGTTCGATCCTCAGCACCACACAAAAATGAATAAACAAAATAAAGATATTGTGTCCATGTATAACTAAAAAATTTTTTTTAAAAAACTGTGTAGTCTTCAAACATAAAGGACTAGAAATATCTCCCTGTGCCAGATCATAATAAACTGTGGCTCGTGAAGAAAGCAGCAAAGGATCTAATTCACTGCAAGCAGAACCAGGGTTAAAACAACAACAACAAAAGATTAGGGATCCTTTAACCAGATGTTTCAGAGATTAAGTACCTGCAAGAAACTGAAAAGTGTCCGATTCCTCTGCAGTATTCGCTAAGTCATTGTAAGTCAGTGCTTTCTTTTCTTTTCCACTGCCATGTCTGTAGGAATAGGTGGCTAGGTACTGAACAAAGAGCTCCTAAAATAAAATGAAATGGTCAAAGTGTGCTTTTAAAATCATAGGACTTTCTTTATTCTGGTGGGGGGTGGGGTGTACTGGGGATTGAACTCAGGGACATTAGACCACTGAGTCACATCCCAGCCCTATTTTGTATTTTATTTAGAGACAGGGTCTCACTGAGTTGCTTAGCACCTTGTCATTGTTGAGGCTGGCTTTGAACTCGCAACCCTCCTGCCTCAATCTCTTCAGTAAAAATAGGTAGCAAAAGACTACTCAAAAACTCTATATAGGGTGGAGTGCTTGTCTAGCATGCAGGTGGCTCTGGGTTCAATTCCCAAAACAGCCAAAAAAAACACTAATCCAACTTAGGAATGCCTGGGCCTTGCACAAGCAAAGGTCTACACTGACACTCCTAATCCTTTTTGAGAAAGGGTCTGAATGAATTGCCCAGGCTGGTCTTGAACTTGCCATTCTCCTGCTTCAGCTTTGGGAGTACCTGGGATTATAGGTGAGTGCCACCATGCCCATCTATAAACACCGTTTTGTTGTACTTTTTAGATATACATGAGAGCATAGTGTATTTTGATGTACATACATGTAGCATGACGTTCTAGTTAGGATTCCATTCTTACAGTTGTGCATTAGGAACACATTTTTATCTTCCTATTTGAATCCCTTGTGCAAAGATAGAATCAAACACTCGGAGCTAAAAATAGACATATCCTGTGTGGCCCAAACACCTCTTTTATGTTGGGAACTAACCCACAATCCTCAAGCCACCTTAAATCAACAACCTGAGACCTTTTTCCTCAAAGGTCAGACTTTAATCCATCAGTACAGTTAGTAATAAATTACAGAGGTGACTGCATAACTAAGTTCCTTATTACTAACCATGAAACTGAACAGGAAGACATGAAAGTCCCAAGATCTCACGGGAACATGCAATCGCAGTTGCCCTGTGGTTTACAGGTTTCAAAGTATACAGAAGGAGGTGATTGTTTTTTTGTGAGTACCACACAGTTTCCTACCAGGGGCCGAGCACCCAGGCCTCTGGTGTCTGGAGATCTTGAGAGCCACCTCACAAGAACACCCAGGGATGTCTATTTTGCTGGGCTCTAAAAACGCACAGCTCTGGCACGACGGGGAAAACCCCGACCTCCGCTTCCTCGCCCCCAGCCCACCTTCACCGCCAAACACCACGCACTGAGTTAGTGGGGCTGGAAGCCGCCTAAGAAAGTTGAAGCAATTAGCCGTGTGACTTAAACGCGACCCAGCCTGGGAACGGGAAGGCTGTGGTCCGCGCTCGTCGACACGAGTCGCTCAGGGCCCAGGAGGGGCGGGGGTCCGCACACGTCGCCGATCCGACCCTCTCGCCTAGGCGTGGACAAGGAGAGCCTTGGGGGCTGCCTCTGACCCAAGTCTTTGCAGCCGGGACAAGGGGTGGTGGACACCCGTGACGGTCCGCACGTTCAACTCTAGGCACGCAGGGACCGGGGAACGGTGGAGGGCGCGGGAACGCAGGGCGCGGCGGGGGAGGGACGGCAGGAGCGCAGGGCACGATGGGAGCGGAAGGGGGTGCGGCGAGCAGGAGGGCCGGGGGCGTGGTGAGGGCACGCAGGGGATGGCGGGACAGCTCGGGCGCTGGAGCGCGCGCTGGCGAGGGCAGGAAGCGGGGTGCGAGAGACCGAGGCCGCAGGAGACCCGGAAGTGCCGTGGGGCCCAGCGGGGCGGACGGTTAAGGGCGCCCGCCCCTCACTCCGCCTCACCGTGGCTTTGGCCGTGAGCACCAGTGCTTCCTGGTTGATGCTGGACACCTCGGGGGAGCTCTTCATGATGACCCGGATGCGGGACAGGGGCAGCGACACGAGCCGCTGCTCCCCGCACTTGTCCTTGCCCACGGCCACGTCCGCCATCTTTCCGTTGCCGCCCAACACGGCGGCCTGCGCGAGCCAGCGCCCCGCTGCCCGCTGGGAGTTGTAGTCTCTGGGAGTTGTAGTCGGAGCGGGCGGCTCGTGATGCACCGCGCCTGCGCAGAGCCACCGCGCCGTCCTGAACGCCGTCCTGGGGTGCGGCGGGAGGCGACACCTCCCGGCCACGTGGTCAAGTGAGGACGGCGCATGTGCACATGTGCTCGTTTGTGGTAGGCAGCACCTGAAGGAAGACGAAGGCATGTATCGGTGAGCCAGCGAGCACTAGGGTGACAGGAAAGAGAAACGCTTTCCCAGGAAATAGGTGCAGAGGCCCTGAGGCCCGCCGGGACTTGCCGCCCAGGGAGGCCTAGGGAGCCCACAGTGGGGAGCCGGAGCCGCGCCGGGTGCACTGTGTTTAGGAACAGCGGGTCGCCGAGGAAGAAGAATCGGTGGGCCGAGTCTTAGGTTTTGAAAAGATCCCTTTGGCTACTGGTTGTGAACGGGCGGGAGCGTAAGGGTGGAAACGGAGACACCAGGTCCTCCCAGGCAAGCGCTAGGAGGCCAGCTCCCTGCGGCCCACCCAGCCGGACGGAAGGGCAGGGCGCGCTGACCCCACGGACTTGTGCTGGGGAGGTCTTTAAGAGCCTGGTGGAGGGGTCATGGGTAGTGGTAGGAATTGAGATCTGATTGGGACAACAGCCACGAGCACTTGCTGATGTGAGGTGGAATGGGTGGAAGAAAGATGGGTTCCTTACTCTGCCGGGAGCCCGTGAGCCGAGCAAATTTGGCAGTGGTTTGGTTTGGAGCATGTGTAGTTTTAGTGCCTTCTTTACCATCGTGACCTCCAGTCCTGGCCTCGATAAAGGAGCACACAATACAGTTGTCCCTCAGTATCTGCGGGGGATTGGTTCCAGGACACACACACACCCGCATTCTCTGTAGAAGCTCGAGTCCCTCATCCTCCCTCGTACAGTATTTTAAGTCGTCTCCAGAGTACTTACAGTGCCAATAAAATGTACATGCTCTGCAAGTGCTTGTTATGCTGTCTTGTTTGGGGAAAAAGACAGAAAAAAGTTTTCTGTCCAAGTTTGGGTGAAGCAATGGATGTGGGATCCATGGAGACTGAGGGATGTCGGCCAACACTAGGCAAAAGGATACAGCCCAGGGTCCCTGCTCTCATGGCTCTTTCTGTTCCGAGGCACATTTAAAAGTAAAAGCATGGGCTGGGGTTGTAATGCAGTGGTAGAACACTTGCCCAGCACTGGGTTCGATTCTTAGCAAGGCATATGAATGCATAAAATAAAGGTCCATTGATGATTAAAATATGTCTTTAAAAAAAAAAAAAGAAAAGTTGGGCTGGGGTTGTGGCTCCGGTAGAGCTCTCACCTAGCACGTGCGTGCGAGGCCTGGGTTCGATCCTCAGTACCACATACAAACAAAGATGTGTCCGCCGATAACTAAAAAATAAATATTAAAATTCTCTCTCTCTCTCTCTCTCTCTCTCTCTCTCTCTCTCTCTCTTTATTAAAAAAAAAAAAGAATTCTCTCTTCCCCTCCCTCTCTAAAAAAAAATACATTTAAATGTGGAAGGTCCTCATTAAAAAAATAAACAAAAATAAAAGGTATTGTGTACAACTAAAAAATGTTTTTTTAAAAAAGTAAAAACATCTCCAGTGGTAAGTGCTATGAGGAAAACAAAACAGGGTGACAGAGTGGCTTTTCTGAAAAGTGGTATTTGTGCTCAGATCTGGTGCAAAAAGCTGGCACATGATGAGTTTTCTGAACAAGATAGCCTGGAGGATACCCCAGGAGGAACATGCCTTGGCAATCTGAGGAACAGGCCAGTGTTAAGGGAGCTCAGTGAGGAAGGAAGCATGGGAGATGTGAGCAGGACAGGTGGGGTCAGCTCAGGCAGCTAGGTAAGGAGTTTGGCTTTCATTCTGAGAGCAGTGGAAACCATTAAGAGGTGTGAAGAAAGGGATCAGATCCATTTTAGGAGCCTAAGTGACAATGGCTAAATGACACCCCAAGCAGAACCAACCTTCTGGGTTTGCAGGGGGTAGAAGGTGCTGCTTCTGTCTCAGGGTTCAGGTCTTGAGCAGAGCGCTTTCTTTCCTCTAAGCAGGGAAGCCCTTGACCTTTACAAAAGTCAGAAAACTGCTCAACAGCAAACGACATACAGTAAGACCCTTTGCTTCACACAAGAAACAAGCACTCATGTTGGCGTATTTTTAAGTTTCTGAAAGTGGTGTTTTTTGGCTGGTTATTTTTTGAATAAATAAATGGCTTGTCTTTCTTGAGTGTGTTTGACAGTAGGGTTGGTTAAGATGAGGAAAGAAAACAGTAGGAAGGTTTTCTGGAGACAAGATATCCACAAGAATTCAAGTAGAGGGATGAGAAGTTCTGATTTGGAAGTGACAAATGATATTTGCAAGCATTAATCATTTGGAAAGCAGCTAGAAGAGCAAAGAAGGAAATATTCGGAAAATATTGGAAAAGTGTGGACCAGCCCATTATTTAAAAGAAAGAAATCGGGGCTGGGGTTGTGGCTCAGTAGTAGAGCACTTGCCTATCATGCAAGGCGCTAGGTTCGATCCTCAGCACCACATAAAAATAAATAAGATAAAGGTATTGTGTCCATCTACAACTAAAATTCATATGTGTGTGTGTGTGTGTGTGTTTTCTGCTAGCTCCTGTCTGCACCTCCCAGAGAGGTGTGTGGTAAGGTTCTCTGATGCCTCTGCAGCATCTCATCAGTGCTAGAAGGCACCCGATGACACTCTGGGGGACACACTGAGAATCCCCTGCCTGCTGGCTTCCATTAAGTTCTGCCAAGAGGCCATATTGGGGATGGAGGAGGAAGCATTGTTTATCTGCTGGTGAGGACACTGGCACAGGTGCTGACTATAGGGGGGTAACAGTGAGTGCCACCAGATTGGGTAGGGCTTGAGCTATGCAGGCTACAAGGTTCCAGGCAAGGGGCAGTACCCACTTCTGACCTCCAGGTAGCATCTTCTCCCTTGGGTGCCCAACACCTTCCTCTCCTTCCTACAGCCTCTCCAGCTTTTCCAGCATTCTTGGAAACATTTCTTGGCTTTAGATCCCTGTTTGAAATAACATGGAGAAGTGTCTGCATGTTGCAATGGGCAAAAGTCTCATGCGACTTATGCAGTCCATGGGGAGAAATAAAGAATGTCCATGCCTTCTGCCCTTTTCAATGCTTTAGTCACTCAAATCACTCAATACAATTTCACTCTATAGGTTCTTAATCAAGAAGGCAACAATCCTTAATGCTAGGCACTGCAATAAACATAATCAATTCACAGCAAATAATTCTAGATTAATTAATTCCAAGCACTGCAAACACAATCATGACAGGCTAATGACAAACATTCTCTCTGAATGCTAAGTTCAAGTGTCAGATCAAAAGTCTCCAGCCTTAGTCTTGAAGTCCAGCAGATGTGCACACTCAAGACTGCGGTGATCAGGTCTGCAACCAAGGCAGGCTTCTCCTGGGGTGGAGCTGATGGCTGGCTGAGGAGACCATGTCCTAGGGAGAAGTTGCGACTCACCAGGGTCAAGATGTGGCTGTAGAGTTTGAGAGCGATGAGAACTACACAGAGATTCAGGCAGATGAGAAGAGTAGGGATGTCAGTCCAAGTCCTCACCAGGCTCTCAGGCTTGTGTGCATCAGTATCAGCAGGCTGAATATCTGTTTATTTACTCTATTATTTATACTAAGTTTGGGGACTTTGACCCCCATTTCAATCCTTATCAGCTACCACCGGGTCTTTCAGTGACATCATTTACCCTGGGGTTAAAACATCTGGTCTGGTGGTCCCCACCCTGATCTTTTCACCTTTCCCTCTTATCTGAGAGGACAGTCTGCCGGGGGCTTCACTCTGAGTTTATCAGGGTGAGGGAAGTGATTTGTTTGTGTCTGGAGGGCTCCCTAGGTGTGCCTGGTGAGACTGTAGGTTTCAAAATGGAATATTCAAAGTTGCTTAGGCTTCAGGCCTCAGGCCCTCCTCACACTGCCTTTCTGGCCGAGTGCTGAACATGTGGACTTGATTCCTGGAGTGAGCCTAAAAGCTTGTATGAGTATGTGTGCACACACACACGCAGAGGAAGCTGGAGTTGGTCTCACTACAGTGTGCCTTGGCAAACAGCTATTTAAATGATTGCCAGTCATTGTATGGTATGTCTGTTGAAGGCAGGACCAAGACTGTGGCCATCACAGTGGGAGTGGTGAGCACACACAGATTTGTGGAATGGGCCAGCTTCTGATTGCAATGGAGAGATTTCAGGAAGTCAAAACTCTGGCTTTAAAATGTCAGATCAAACTCAGTCAGAAAACCAGTTTCCCTGATAACCCAAAGAGAGTCTCTTATTCTGAGCAGATAGGGCTGCTTGTCAGACTGGCCTGCCCGCTACATAATTAGCAGCAGAAATTCAATTTGGAACCTCAGTTTTGAGTGAAGTCAGGCTACTGACTTGGAAGAATAGGGTCCTGAGCATGGGACTAGGGAGTGTTGGAAGGAAGCCTGAGAACCTTTAACCCCAGTCTCTCTAAGCTGCTTTGTCCTGAGAAATGGCTGATGGCCTCCCGCCATCTGAGGCAAGAGCCTTTCCTTACAGAAGGTCCTCTCACTAACCTCCCTGGAGTCCACCTGGCTAGGGCATGCTGTCTCTTCAAGGTGACACCCTCCCAGCTCCTGTCATTGTGTCACACCTCAGTGTGCCTCTGGGAGACACCTGCAAAGGTTGTTGTGGAGATAGTTCACTCACTGAAAGAACTGTAGGATATTAATCCTTGGTTACCAGACGGAACCTGGGGGGTGTATGGGAAGTGGGTTCAAATGGAGTTGGTCTGGAGCATAATACTGGATCAAGCCAAATCTGTTAAGATAGCAGACTTACCTAAGGTTCTAGATTTGGTAATAGCTCTAGCAGAAAGGGATCGTGCAGTTTGCCCAGCAAATGTGGAGAGAGA